CCGGGGGGTGGTACCATGCTGGAGGTTAAAGGAAGCTGCCAGAGGCGGCCAGGGGGGGCTTACTCAGCACCACCACGACACCCCGCGGCTGCAGGTGCTAGCAGGAGACATCGGGCTGTACCTTCCGCTGCTCCTGCCATTGCCCTATAGAACAAGCCTGGGGCCGCTCGGGGCTGCAGCGTTCTCCATTAGCGACGCCTGGTCCACCTGGTCCCCGCTTTTCTCTACTCGTGGGTCTGCGTGATTGTTCCTTCCAACTCTGGGGGCCTCCTCTCCCCTTCGCCTAGCAGGTCTGGGCAGGCTCCCTGAGGGGGCTTCCTGTCGGCCACCGAGGCCCTCGCCCATAAAGCCGAAGCAATTTCCCAGCTCCTGGGTGAGCACAGAAGCGCCATCCCTGCCAGCTTGCCAGAGCACCTTTATTTACACAAGCCCTTGGGGCCCGCCTGGAAGGTCAGCAGCGGGCACCTGAGTGCTCACCCAGTGAGGGCCAAGGTGCAGCGGCAACCACATCTGCTCAGCGCTGCAGAGGCCGTCCGTGGGGCCATGGCACGTCCAGGCAGCCGCTCCTGCTGCAAACCTTGTGCTTCTACCAAGCTGTGCCCACCTGGTAGCTCCGCCACTGCCCCAGAGGCCTCGCCCGGAGACTGCCCCTCACTCTCCCCTTGGGAAACACAAGGCTCTTCCTAATCCCAGCTGCCATCTCCGTCCCTATGCAGCCGTAAAGACCCGACCTACATAGAGTGGGGCCCTGGAGGGGCGGGCCCAGCTGTGTCCCTGATGGTGGTAACCTCGGCCCCAGCCCAGTGGACTGACCCCCAGCTGAGCCTGCCTCAAGGCCGAGAGCACTGACTGGACTGCAACCCCAGTCCGGGCCCCGGGCCTCCTGACCGAGCAGTCCCAGGCGAAGCCTCAGAGCCCAGCCGGGGCAGGCGCGCTGGGCAGGGGCAGCTCCAGGGTTGGCGTCTCAGTGGCCTGGGCTGGGCTGGGTTTCCGTGGGTCCAGCTGCCCCAGCTTCTCACCCAGCTGCGCGTAGAGGTCCTTCACAGCCTCGCCGCTCTGTGGGAAGACATAGCACGGCTTGGCACCAGCCTGAGGCGGCCCTGCCTGGCACATTTGCATGGGCTGTGCCAGGAGGGAGCAGGCACCTACCTGGCCCGTGGGCTCCAGGGCCTTCTGCAAGGCCTCCAACTTGGACGGGGCCACCCGGGGGTGCAGGTGCAGGAGGAGCCGCAGCAGGTGTCGGTGCACGTTCTCCTTCCTGGAAGAGGCCGGGCGGGTGGGGCCAGCAGACGTGCCAGGCCCAGCACCTGGGCTGTGGACAGCCCTCGGAGCCACTGGGACGTGAACAGCCACAGACCCTCCCCAGCACCCCACAGGGCCACGTGCAAGCCCTGGCGCCTAAAGGACCTACCTGTGGGCCCTCCCTCCAAACAGGGACTCCAGCAACCCACACTGCCACAGAGACCAGACAGGCCGAGGGGCCGGGGCAGACCGAGGGGCCGGGGCAGCTCGCTGAACAGGCACAGCCTGTGGCCCGCACACCTACCTGGGTGAGGCAGTGAGCAGGAAGCCATCAAAGAGGCTGCTGCAGAAGTCCTCCAGGCTGAACTCGTCGGCGAGCAGCGCCAGGCTCCCCGTGAGCAGGTGCAGGAAGATGTCACCGAAGGCCAGGTCCCCAAAGGTCTCCGCTGCAGGCACAGCAGGCATCAGCCCACCCCGCCAGGCCAGGCACGTACTCTACCCGCAGCCGGGGTCTGCAGTGCCCACTGCGGCTCACACGGGGCCCTTGGTCGTCCTAAGGTCAGAACCCTAAGGCCTGGGTGGGTGTGGAGAGTGGCCAACCAGGGTGGCCTGGGGGCAAGCAGGGGTCGGGAAGGGCAGGAGGCCGAGAGGAAGGCCCGTCACACAGGGTCTACCGGCAGCTGAGGGGCTCCAGCCGCACAGCCCCCGAGAGAGGCCCAGAGGCCCGGTGCCAGGGAGGGAGCACAGGCACAGGCCACCTCTGCTGGAGCAAGCTCCTCCACCACCGAGCCCCGCGGAGGGAGCTGAACTGCCCTGTTCCTTCTTTCAAGGACAAGGGTCAGGGACGGCAACAGGAGCCAGGTCTCGCAGCCACGGCCCAGTGTCGACGTGTGCGGACAGGCAGGACCAGGGCCAAGCAGCAGGCAGATCGCGGCAAGACAAAGGCGGCAAACAGGCATGCAGCCAGGCCACCCGAGGCAGGACAGATGTCCACAGGCCCAGGGACAAGATGGCACCACCTCCCAACTCCGGGCACTGGGCCTGCATAGAGACCTATAGAGACAGGCCTGAGGTGGCCCTGCAGCACACCAGAGCGCGGTCCCAACACACTCAAGCAGGCACAGCGTCAGGCTAGGGGCATGACGGGCAGAAAGACCCTTCTGCCTAGGAGCCCTACAGGCCAGGGGACGTGAGGGTGGGTGGGGCAATGTGTGGAGGGTGGCCTCTGTGGACCCCGATCCGAACACTGGCACGAGGCCGACGACGCGGTCTGGGAAACCAGCAGAGGCCAGTCGGGCTGCAGATGCAGTTTTGTGAGACAGGGGTCACCATGTCCCAGCCGTCCCGTCCCAGCCTCCTGAGCAGCCGAGACCACAGACGTACATCGCACAGCTGGCTTCGGGGGTGGGCCAAGAATTGAACCCGGGCCTCTCCCGGGGCTCCAGCCTGCCAGATAGTGGGTCTACCAGCATATGCTACCACAGTGAGGCCTGGGTCAGATTTTTTTTTTTTTTTGGAGAGGTTTTTGCTATAGGGCGTGTGTGCTCACCAGACAGACGGAGAGAGACATAGAGACAGAAAGCGAGAAATCACCCCCCCAGGGGGGATGGCCACACCACAATCCCTTCTCCTCCATTTTCCTCTCGGGATCTTGGGCATGCACATGCGCCCGGCGTGAGTTTTAAGCCACTGGGTCCGGGACACAAACCACAGTCGACTACGTGGGAGTCCAGCGACATAGCCATTACGCTAACTGCTGGTTCCCATGGCTTGGGTCAGATTTTAAAAGCATCATTCGAACCCAAAAGATGCTGTGGAGATTAAATCGCTAGATCTCCCATGACTGCACGGCTCAAGTCCCAGATCCAGCGGCTTGACAATGACGCGAGGCGTGTGCGAGCATGCTCCAAGTCCCAGGAGAACGGAGAGGGTTTCCGGATGCCCATCCCCAGGAGATTTCTTACTTTCCCTCTCTGGTGCTCTCTGGTGAGAGCATGTGCCCTACAGCAAAGACCTAATGGGGACCAGCAGTTGGCATAATGGCTATGTCATTGTCGACCGCAGTTTGAGTCCCAGACCCAGTGGCTTAAACTCACACCGTGCGTGTGTGCCCAGGGTCCCGAGAGGAGAATGGAGGAGAAGGGATTGCAGCGTGGCCATCCCCCCGGGAGGTGATTTCTCTCTCTCTCTGTCTTTCTGAAGAGTGCACATGCCCTATAGCAAAAACTCCTCCAAAAGAGACCTAACGGGGCCAGCAGGTGGCAAGGTGGTTAGGCACTGGACTCCCACACGGCTGATTGTGGTTCGAGTCCCGACCTGGAGGAAGGCTCGCCTGCTCACTCTCTCTGGTGAATGCATGTGTACTATAGCAAATTTAAAAGAAGTAATGAAAATAAATAAAATTAAGTAATTTTTTTTGAGAGGCTTTTGCTACAGGGTGAGTGCGCTCGCCAGAAAAACAGAGACAGAGAGCAAGAAATCATTCCCGGGGGAATGGCCACACTGCAATCCCTCTCCTCTATTCTCCTCTCGGGATCTTGGGCACGCACGCACATGTACCCAGCATGAGTTTAAATAACTGGGTCCGGAACTCAAACCGCAGTTGGCTACGTGGGAGTCCAGCGACATAACCTACACTAACTGCGGGTCCCAATTAAGTAGTATTTTTGAATAATGACTCTATTTTACTTTATCCATTATTATTATGTTGTAAGTTAACCAGACACAGAAAGAACGTGAGTGAGAAAGCAAATCGCCAGGTCTGGGACTCAAACTGTGGTCAGCCATGTGGCAGTCCAGTGCCTAAACCACCACGCCACCTGCTAGCCCCTAAATAAATAATTATTA